TGAAAGCAAGAGATTCTAAATTCCATATTGCTGAAAGATATCAAAGTATTAAATGAATAATATATTTTCTATTTGAAAGCAAGAGATTCTAAATTCCATATTGCATATTTAATTACTGAAATTGGGAAAAAAATCGAAAATATAATGAGAGTATGTTAAGTAGGTAATATAATTCCGCGCAACACATCAATTAAGAGCATATTGTTTTGGATTTTCATTCTATATTATAAAAGAAAAAAAAATGAAAAAACATATCTAATAGAATTAAGCAATAATTAATGAAAGCTTGTTAAGTTACTATATGTAGGCAATAATTAATGTTTTTGAAGAGAAAAGATTACTAAAAGTGAATTAAGTTAATTCTTATTATATATTAATAGATAAGATAACACCTTCACAAAATGTCGACGAGTGGGCGTCAGAAAAGATTAATTAACACATGGTTCTAACAAAAATAGTTGTTTAATAAATGAATAAAAAATACGACTTAACTTATTTACTAAAGAGAGGGGATTGAACCGGGCGATAGAAAACTACAAGGGCGCTAGCGCGTTACGGCTTTCGAGATAACTCGTAGTTCCTTTCTGATTGGATTGACTCATACGTGCTAGAATCCCGCTCTAAACTCGAGGAACCATCGGGTGAGCCGGTGCTTTTCACTGTCAAACGGTTCTAGCTGAGTATTCGAACCACTAATGAGCCCGGATAAAAAATATCTAGTGGATATTTTTTTTTTTGGAAGAATGTTGTCCTTTTATACATCATTTTTTTATAATCCCAACATTTCATATGCTTATACATAATAATCAAACTTTAATTTATATAACAAAAACTGTTGCGAGCTCATGATTAGTTAGGCTAAACTGGAAATGTGAAATTTATGAAATTATGAAAGGAAAAAAATAAAAATAAAGAAAGAAGGTGGGACTATAATTAAATCAATGTACTTATTATGTTACCACTTATTACCAAAAAGTCCACCATTTGTGCTCTTTTTGACCTTTTCCTTAATTGATGGTGCCGGACATTGATGGAAACTCAGTAATGAAATTAACAACCGTTGAGGCCAAGCAATAGTGGTCACTTTGGTATAAGGTATAAATTAGGGTTAGGCTCTAACTTTTTTATTATTATTATTACTATTACAATTGGGACCAACCATAATATTTGAACAAAATGCATACTTATACTATTAAATGTTCATCGTCTTCATTCGGATACTGATTTATCGTCGGAGTGCAAACGCCAAGAACACTTCCCGACCCATTTTGCAGCTCTTTGAACCGGACATGAGCGGATCCAAGTCGTTTGCACAACAATATGCATATTTGTAACAGAGTACGTCGCTTAACTCAAGATCTAGAATTATTACAAATGTTTGTGTTAGTTGTCTAATATTTTGGGAGTCATATTTTCTTCAAACGATGAGTACGTACTTATATAAACGCTATACTTTTTATCTATATTATATTTTAAAGTATGATATTTGAATATAGAAGTACGTATATTTATTGAAAGATTATGAATTATGTGTCTAACTATCACGCAGTATAAAAGGATAACAATCTTATTATTATTATTGTTATTATTATAATCATTGTTATTATTGTTGTTGATTGTTGTTGTGACTTACCAAAATCAAATGTTCCATTTTAATTCATGAAATCATGGAGGGACCATGTAATAATGCAAACCTCATAAAAGCATGCACGTGCAAAATTATTGTCTATGATTTAAATATTGTTCTAACAAATTAAAAATATATAAATATATATAAAAAAAAAAAGTAAAATCAAAGAGATTTTTATTTCAATGGCTTTCTAAATGTACATTTTATTGAGAATAGTCTGGGATAAATGTTTCTCAATAACAATAGGTTTGCCAATTTTTATGACTTAATCATGAACTTTTTTGTCACGTATAAAATATGATAGTACTTTATGTATACAATTTTTGTAATAAAATAAGAACAATTGATAGTTAGACATCCTAACAATAATATTCTTTTTATATATACTAAACTTCAATTAAAATAAAACAACCTGGCCTAAATTGTGGTTCAATTTTTCAGGTTTTAATTGGTCAAAGTCAAATAATGCTCCCGCATATTTTATTCATTTTCATGCATAAATCATTTGAAAGATGTTACAATCTCGTTACGAAATCATTGTATCGGAGTTTGTAACAAGTAGATCAACTATCATTGACAGTTACATGATGATTTAACGGCCACGAGAAGTCCGGCTGGCCACGTCGCCGTCTTTTCGCCGGCGCCGGAAAAAAATAAAAAAAGACAATAGAGTTTCTGAAGATTCCTTTGCCCCACTTCCATTCTTGTGTTGACAGCTAAAACCCCATTTTTGCTAACCCCACACTTTACAATGACCTTTCGGTCAATATGAATTTTTCCACCCATATTTTTTCCACATGTCAAAAAAATAGAATATTTTGCATTGACTACTCTTTCATAGACACACCCCCTCAAATTCACAAATTTGGGCCCAAAAAAGCAAGAAACTCATCCATTTTCATCAAACCATAAACCATTGTTTATGGGCAATGCTATATGTACACCCCTTTTTAATAAATTACACAAAGGGCAATGCTATATGTACACCCCCTTTTTACACACAAGGGGGTGTACATATAGACACCCCCTTGTTTATTTAATTAGTTCAAATTAGACTACCTATTTGACTATATAAAATACAAAATGTCACTAAAATCATAACCACAAAGCACAAAATAGAATAATGCATTGAAGATTATATTGACACCCTCAATTTCATATATTTGGCCCAAAGAAGCAAGAATTTTACTATTGCAATATGGGAAGATGCTATTGTCCTGTTACGGAACCATTTCGTCGGGGTTTGTAACCGTTAGATCAACTATCTCTGACGGTCACATGATGATCTAACAATTACAAATTCAGACGGAATGATTCTGTATCGAGACCTTAGCATTTCCCTGTAATATGTGACATTTTAATTTAAAGAACATGAATATATCTACTTGAGAAAAACAAAATAACAATAATTATGTCTATTATCATCGAAACATAAGTAATTCAACATATGTAACCGAAATTTGCAATTACAACCAAGATAAACAAAGAAAATGAAACAAACAAAATATCATCAAAACACAACAAACTTGAAGAAAGATTGTCTCACTCATACACCCCATCTTCTTTCACATTTTTTTTTTTTTCCAAATTACAAAAATCATTTATGATTTTACTACCAAAAAAATATTAAAAAAGAAAATAAAAAAAAAAGAAGTAAAAAAAAAAAACTCGCCCAAAAATAATTTAAAAAAAAAAAAGAAATCCACTCACTCAAGAATTAACAGCTTTAGTTGAACCGGCGACTCTAGGTGAGGTGACCGGAAAAAGCGGTAAAAGCCGGGGCTCCGAATCTCTCGGTGTACTCGCCGGCGACGGGTGCAGATAAAACCCCTTCTCCTTAATCGCCTTCTCCTCGGCCAGTTTATCCAACCCGTACCCGTTACTCGCCCCGCCCGCCGCTTCCCGTTTAAACGGGTCGGGTATAAGAGGGGTCACCGGACTTAGCACCAGCGACGGAAAATCAAGAATGCTCGGGGACAGAACCTCCGGCGTCCCAGACCGCGGCGAGCCCGAATATCCGGATGTCGGGCCGGGGCCAGGACCCAACGGGCTGATCCTGAAGTTCTTCAGGCTGTTCCTCCGCTCGTAGAGCTTAGAGCCCGATTTTTCCATCCTGGGCCCGGTTCGTGCCGGCGGGATCGAGCTCCTGGCGGCGAGCCTGGCCGTGTCGGTGGATCCGGTCAGCATCTGGACGACCTGCTTGAAGGAGGACGTGTCGGCCTGGACGAAGGTGGTCGGGTACGGGTTGTTGGGTTCGGATCTGGTTACCGGCGCGGCAGACGGCTGGTGGCGGACGCCGTTCGCGGCGGCGGCGCTGCTGCTGCTGCTGGGGCTGTGGGGGATTGGGGATGGGATGAGTGAAGGGTTTTGAGCGAGTGTTAAATTCTCCATTGATTCAGATCTGTTTTTGTTTCTTTTGAGCTGTGCATATGTAGTGTAGTAGTAGAAATAGAAGAGAAGGGGCCTCCTTTTTTTAAGTATTCAATTAATAATTTAGTCTTTTATTATTATTTTAAATTTTCTTGCATTGCTCATAGTCATAGAATTGGTAAACACATTGATATGTGATTATGTTCCAAAAAAAAAATAATGTTATGATTGGTAAAGTTTATTAGTAATTTTCGAGTTTATAGCTTATGATAGCTGAAAAGCTAACTTATATGATAAAAGTGTGTGGTAAAATTTAGTTGATAAGCCAGTTGAAATAAAAATTTCAACAAGGTTATTTGAAAAGCTACCAAAATAAGTTTATCAAATAAGTTCGAGCTTTTTAAATAAGCTCGTCCTACCAAACGAAGCTTGTTTAAATACAGTGAGCTTATAAGCTAATCAAATAAGCTGTAAGCTAGCTTATTGGTCTACTAAACACAGTCTAACTCGATTCACATGGTAAAATATTGTGTGAATGAGTTGAGCTTGTTTATTAAAATTAGCTGATCGGTCAAATTTGTTCGCTAACATCTCATTTCTTTTATTTTTTTTTAAATTTTTAAATAAAATAATCGAATCGAACTTGTTTGCTAAAATTTTATTTCTCTTATCTTCCTATTTTTATAATTTTTAAATAAATTAAATAATCTAATTGAACTTGTTTATAAATTTGTAAACAATATTTCAAATAGAGAACACCTTATCTTAATTTTATATTTATTTTTAATTTATTTATTAAAATAACTAGATGTAATTAAAATAACACTCTAATAATCACTTCACAGCTTCATTTGGTTTGGTAAGAAATACCGATGGTGTTGCATTTGAGGTAACGAAGCGACTTGTGCGCGTAAGTTTCACATTCTTGGCAAAGTGGGTGGAGGTGTTTGCACGCGCTGTAAGAGAGAGTGGATATTGGACTCGATAGAAAAGTCCAACTGGAGACAGGCTATTGGTTATGGAATTTCGGACCAGGAGATGGTGGGGCCCAGAAGGAGATAAGAAGTTGTCAAACTAAGCTTTAATTATTAGGCATTGACTCCAAAGGATCCCCTTGGACTGAGGCAATTGATTTTATAATTTTATTTTAAAATAAATATGAAATATATTTATAATTATCTTTTTTTCATTTTAAAATAAAAAAAGCAAACAAAATCTATGAAAATATGTTTAATTGAAAATATTTATTAGAGTTTTGAGATTCAAACCCGCCCGACGGATTGTGTTGTCTGGGTGGGTTGTTCGGACCGAGTAGCAAGGGACCCAGTCAAAACTCGCTCTTCACCTTGTCAACATGGGTATTGACTCGACCCGACTAGACCAGTAGTTTCTTTTTTTCATTTTTAGTTGACCCGACCATTTTTTTTTTAAGGAATAAATTATATATATATATATGTGTGTGTGTGTGCGTGTGTGTGTTTGATAAATATTTATGATACAATACAATATTATTAAGAGCTTGGGTATAAAATTTTCATATAAATAATTTACTTTTATTATTTAATGTACTGTTATAGGGATATAATTAAAATCTCATAAATTAATTATTCGGTTCAGAAATTGACCTCGGTGACACAAAGTCCAGCCCGGTCAGTTGCCGGTCAGAGTTTTAAAACTATGGAAAATATCAAAATAAGATAATTGAAAGGCTTGTGTCCACAAAATAACAATAAAAAATAAAATAAATAAATAAAAAGAACTTGCAGAAAATGAATTGTTTATCTTAGAATTAATGTAATTTAAGTGAAATGAAAATATTAATTATCAAATAATTTTGTATTTATTTGAAC